AAAGACTCCATCGGTTTTTATTAACTCAGCTAAAATACATAGAAAAGAGTTGAAATGAACAGAAAGACATTACATTTTAATTAGATTTTCATCTTGCTCCTATGACAACGTGGCCAAATAATGATCATGGCTACTATAGCAATTAGTAATTTAGGCTTTATAGTAGCTTAGCTACATAATGAATATTGAATAACAAGCCTAGTTGAACAAAGGTGTACCACATATTGTATAACTAAATTATCTTGATAAGCTGTATAGAAAAGAAGAATACTCAAGAACACTCTGAAAAACACTTTATCGAAACCATATTCATTCAAATAATCGTTTCTTACGAAGTCTTACACCAAATAAATTAAATCAAGTCAAAAATGGCGGAAATCGATCAAAGTATCTCATCAAGAACAGATACATTATTTGAAATGACAGAAGATGAATGTGAGAGATTCAAAGAATGCAACAACAGAAACGTTTCATATATATATATATATATATATATATATATATATATATAATACTTACGCCTGTTACTCCTCGTGGAGAAGCATAGGCTGCTCACCAGCATTGATGAATTGATGAATTCAAAAAATTACTCAATACCTGTCGATTTTGATAACAGGCTGTGACACTCGAGAAAACAATAGTTCACAATTGATTGATCACTGGGTGGTGATCAATCTCATCCTTGTTTAGTCCTTATTAGTGCAGATCGAATGCTATCGATCATGTTGCAATGTGGCCACCAGTCTAGGTGACTCGACACTGCGGGCACTATGTATTGAGATTTAGATGGTGGTTGGAGGTAGTCAACAGGAAACCCTGGACCCGGGTTTCGTGGTACATGACCGATAGCATTCGATCTGCACTAATAAGGACTAAACAAGGATGAGATTGATCACCACCCAGTTATCAATCAATTGTGATTACATCTCGGTCCTGCAGGAGGTTAGTCACGGCTCCGATAGCTCAGTGGTAACGTCTCTGACTGTGAAGCTGAGTGACACGAGATCGAATCCGCCAGGGAGCACCAGTTCCCTCAAGATTACAGGTACAACTTACTGACGAGTGCCAAGTAGCACGAAACCCGGGTTCGGGGTTTCCTGTTGACTACCTCCAACCACCATCTAATCTCAAAACAATAGTTCATTTATTACTGACACCTTTTGATGTGATACAATACACCTCTACTGTACTAAGAATTACCGTGTACAAATATCACTTATACATGAATATTCTTCTTTTATTTCTTTCAATTTATTGTTCACTTTCAAAAATGTAAACTGTTATTCATTCATCGGTGTTTGATTCATTACCTTACGCATGAATTAAATGTATATTTTACATCTTCAATGAGGCTATAATTTATGGACGAACTTTGAGCGAAGTTAAAATGACTTTGAGAATGTCTGCTTACATAATACGGCTAAGTGAAGGTTATAAATCAGTGCGAGGACTTGGGATTAACATTTACAGTTAGTGGTTTTGGGGAGATCCAGAAAACTCAGAAAAAGCCAAAAATGCTCTGGAGACGCTAAGAAAAAATCTTATCCAACCATCAATCAAGAGAAGTTTTACCAGAAACATACAGGAAGTGAGAAGTCACATGTCGCGTTTCCGTTTGGATGGACACCTATACTGGTACCATGTTAAGTAGCCTTCCAGAAATTTCTGGAAGGCAAAGGCCATCTAAAATACTATAAATACCCTAGATTTTCTGTATATGAACGGACCTTTGGAGTTAGGCGTTTTCTTCCTTATTTCACGCCTTTTCTCTCATATACAAGTAGATATATCCTGAGAGTTACTAGAAGAGCTTAAGTACCGAGTCTAGCGTTCAGTTAGAAGACTTATCAGTTAGGAACTAGATTTAAAGTTTTCGTCACGAATTAACATCACTATTAAGCCAAATGGTTGAATAAACTTCGCACCAAAGTCTAAAACCTGTTATCTTATATCTGATTGGTTCGTCCATAAATTATAGTCTCGTCTAAAATGATAAATTAGTCACTATTATAGTTAACGCATGATCTCAACTATTGAAATTACTACAATCTCCACAAAACCTCTTCTGATACTAATCAACATATGCTCACTAGTGACTGGCTTCAGGAGGTATATCTCGGAGTTCTAGTGAGAAGCAGTGACCAGTGGAGTTCAACCGTGTCTGTTGTGAGATAGTAATTCACTGATGACAATGGTGGATGTGTCGCTCAATTTCGTGGATTAGTTGAAGTTAGACATTAACACTGTTGGATGCTAGCTGGTTCAGTGGTCTAGTGGTTAAGCGATCGCACGCGTCACTGATAGGTCGTGGATGAGCAATGCTGAGGAGTCCCACACTATGACGAAACGGCCGTTCAGTGCTTCAAGTTTTTCCATGGTGGTTTGGCTTCAATTGGCTCATGATCTCAGTTGTTGAAATTACTATTATAATTACAAATCGGTCATATTCGAGAGATCGTTTTTCATCAATTTACTTTTATTGACATCCAAATATTTCTCCTGTCATGATAATTAACAACTTCAATCTATTTAATTGAACAAATAACGTTTTATTTCTATGTGATCAATGAGGAAATTATTTTCTCTTTTAAATCTTAATATCTATTAACAGCTAATGGTTCAATATGACAACTGAATAGAATTGATAGGGCTTCTTTTCAGAAGTTACAATTTTATACTAAACAATGATAGAACCGTTTGACTTGAATTTTATTTTCATTAAAATAATGTTCAAATATAAAAAAATGTAAATTTTGACATTCATTCAAGACTGTTTATGCTAAATTCAATTGAATTGATCAGATTACAATAATGGACCACTAATAGCCAATTGATGACTTATTAAAGGCAATAAGAGGTGTGTTCCTATTATATGAGCACATATTTTGAAATATAAGTTAATCAACCACTTATTTTTTTAAAAATATTTCTAACCATAACCATAAATTTTTATCCATAGGAGTCAGGAGTCAAAATAACTGAGTCAATAATGTCAATCCACCAAAATCATCCACCTGAGCTACAGATGAGTTACGTTCGTGTGGAATACATACATAGGAAAGAGTAAATAAACACTGAAAACATGGGTTATGAAACATGTGCATATATAATTTGAGAACCAGTGTCAAGTGCTTCGATAAAGTTGAGAAGTAAAAAAAACCGTGTTCATCGATAGTAAAGCACGTAATATATATATATATATATATATATATATATATATATATATATATATATATATATTACTACCACTGAAATTACTGCATCAATGAATTTGCTGTTCATCTTCTTGTACTAATGAGGTGTGTCAACATGGACCGATACACATATGTGACTGGTACTACGTTGTAGCTGACTGACTGACATTTAAAAGGGAGCATAGAATCTATATCAATACTGATCTTATAACGTGTGGCAATTGTAAAGGACCAATTTCTTGGTTTGTAGAAGCTTTGACTACTCATAAATTCCAACTCTACATATGTGTACTAAGACAAGTTATCGTAGCTTGAAAATTTTGGTTTGGTAATATTTAAGGTATTTTATGGTGTTGAGTAGTGTGACAATTTTCCATTCTTTCCATATTATGTTAGTGTTCTCTCACCTTTATTTCCAGTTATCACCTTGTTTACTTGACTTTCATTCAATTGACCTTTATTAATAATTTTCATTTAAAATGCTTTGACCAATATATGTGTAACCAGATAGCTTGGAATGTATCATGCAACTACATCACATTTTTCAGATCAACCAAGTTTTCTTCTGGTTTTTTTTTATCTGATTGCTTTACAAATCATTCATAAATCACTGTAAGTAATTCTGGTTATCCAATTTTCACGAAGTGAGACATGTATATATCTGTTTTTATCACAATGTTTTACAATATAATAGATAAGTATAGTGATATGGTTAATGATAATTATGAAACAAATAATTGTTCTTCTTATAGAATAATTTTTGGTCGTCAGTGGAATGTTGAACATGAATCTAGTTGTATTCGAGATCTGTTCGTTGGATAAACCTATTTCCTATTGTTAATGTTCACACCTAGAATTAAAATCAATAACTTTCGCCCAAAAATGTCCGATTCATTACTCAATCAGTCCAGAACATCATCACTTGTTTGACGGATATGAATGATTTTATTAGATTTTGGTATACTTTTTGCTACCATCAATTATTTATCTATCCCATAAAACTTTCAATGAAATGGTTGTATAGAAACAATCCTCACAGGATACTAAAAGGAACTGATTCAAATTCAGTCAAGAATATGATTAACAGGCTAATTCAAAATCTTTCTAACTATGAACTAATTAATATCAGAAAGGGGTTTTCATGGATATTATAGGAATTTAATGGTTGAGATCATGAGTCAATGGAAAGTAGACCAACTTGGGAGATCTGGAAGCACTGAACAGTCGTTTCGTCATATTGTGGGACTCCTCAGAATTGTGCATCTATGATCTTGCCCACCACGAGATTCGAACATAGGACCTATCAGTCTCGCTCCCGAACGCTAAACTGTGGACTGCTAAGCCGGCATCCAATGGTGTTAATGTATAACTTCAACCAATCCACGATGTTGCACCACCGTATACCATTGTCTTCAGTGAGCTGATATCTCACAACAAACCTAGTTGAACTCCACTGGTCACTGCTTCTTGCCAGAACTCCGAGATATACCTCCTGAAGCCAGTCACTAGTGAGCATATGCTGATTAATATCGGAAGGAATCTTTGTGGATATTATAGTATTTTAATAGTTGAAATCATGAGTCAATTGAAGCTAGACCACCTTGGAAAACCTGAAAGCATTGGACGGCCGTTTCGTTTCATTATGGGACTCCTCAGCAGTGCGCAGCCATGAACTAATTATTTGTTTAATGATTTTGGTTCTGCATTTACTTCAAATAAAGCAAGATATATAACATTAAGCTTCCCTGTTAGATACTGTTTAGTTAGATGGTATTATTGAATTTTAGCTTCATTTTTATATTTTAGAATGCAACGACTAGAATTTCCGAAATTGTCTCATTGTGAAAGAGAAAACATATTCATAAAGAATTTCCTATCTACTCAGTCAACAAATTCTATATTTTATGCATTTAATAGTCAAGCTGCTAAAAATGCAGTACATTTTGCAGCAAATCTTAATGAAGATAATAATACAACATTGTCAAAAATATTATTTATTGATGATTATGTTAACATGTCATCCGGTGTGATTTCTGCAACTCTACTTGATCGAATTTGTGGACCATATCCAACATTTTCCGAATTATATAATGATATATTTGACTATATTGTGCATACCTATCTTTTACCCATACTAATGATATTCGTCTTAATCACTAATTTCTTTGTTTGTTTAGTCCTTAGTAAACCACAAATGAGATCACCTGTTTTTTTCTTATTATTTCTTATTGGTATTGTGGAATTGACAAATTGTTGTTTACCATTACCAATGTATATTGCTCAAAGTATTTATAAACGTACTGCATGGTGGACTAATTTACCAATGAAAAATTTTACAATGACTAAACATTTACTCAATAATACAAATTGGGAATTAGCTCCTAATGATTATTATCAAACTAGTGATAATATAATTGCTAGTGAAGCATCAGCTTGGACAACAGTATTTCTTCCAACGATAACACATACAATATCAGTATGGTTAACAGTTGCTTTAGCATTACAACGTGTTATAAATTTAACAGCATTTAATTTAACATCAAAATTATGCAATTTATCTTCTACCGGAAAAATTTTCATCATAATATCATGTATGGCCATTACTTTACATTGGCCTTTATTATCTTCAAGATTTATATTATTTCAACCAATTCAATTGAGATCATTTCTAACTGAAAATAGTTTATATGACAATGAAAAAGTGAATTCAATTCATTGTCTATTAAACATTGTAGATAATTTACCTAATATTGTAATGAAATGTCATTTAATTAAACCAGTATACATGATCTTTTATTTCTATGCACGAATTGTATTAATACATCTATTACCATGTGGAATACTTATTGGATTAACTATAATACTTGTTATAAAAATGCATAGTATCATTAAATTGAGAACACGTCTTGGTTTAAGACAAAAAACGAATACCCATAGTATTAATAATAATAATACTATATATACATCAACTTCTAAAAAACCTTCTATAAATCCTCAAGCAATATCACGTATGCTTATTGTAGTTTTATTAAAATTTATAGCAATGCATTTACCAAATGCTATTGTTCTAACTATATATGTATTAAGAAGAATGTGGAAAGTGGAGAATTTCATACAAACTAACAATGAAGAAACATTGATAGAGACAACAACAATCACCACCACCACAGCAACAACAACACCAACAGAAGAACTGGATAATAAACAAATTTATTTAACATTTGAATATAATTATACAATAAATCAATCAATTAATCTCTTAGAAACTAATCAAAATATACAATTTAATAAAATTAATTATCATAATATTACTGATGATTATTTAGGTAAAGCTGTACTATTATGTAATCTTGTTATACTTGTATCATATCAATTAAATTTTGCCATCTATTATATCATGTCTACACAATTTAAAGAGACATTTAATAATTTATATTTTATTAAACATTTCACTATGAATAGGAATTAAATAAACTTTCACATTACAATATTATTACTGTTATTATTATTATAGATGTAAATAGAAAAACAATGTGCTTCACTATGGCATTTTAACATGTTTTTTTGAGTATCCGAAGGGGTTTTGTGGAGGTTATTGTAGTTTCAATAGTTAAGATCATGATTCAATTAAAGCTAGATCACCATGGAGAATTTGGAAGTATTGGACGCCGTATCGTTCTAATGTTTTTTTGTTAATAAAAAATAGTTAACAACAACTTGAAAATCAATATGAGCTATCAAACAAAGTTTTCATAGATGAGAAATGAAACGCATTCGCAACTTTGAGGATTTGTGGAGATTGTAGCATTCTCTAAGGCGAATTCACGAGTCAATCTAAGCTAGATCACCAATGAAAACCTAGGAGTAGTGGACGGCCGTTTCGCCCTAGAGTCGGACTCTTCAGTAGCGCATGTCCACGATCCCAAAGTCGAGACACCATTGGTCATGGAGTCTAATCCATATCTTTTGATGACGATTTTCCACCTATGACAATAGCTGAAGGGTTGCGCAAGCTCATGAGTCGATTAAAGTCAGAAATTAGCACCGTTGGATGCAAACTCAATGGTCTAGAGATTAAGCGTTCGCGTGCGAGACTGAAGATCCTGAATTGGATTTTCTCATAAGGATAAGTGGTTGCGCATCACTAAAGATTTCAATATAAAGACGGAACGCCATTCAATGCTTTGAGGTTTCCGATAGTGGTTCAACTTTGAAAATTTATTTGCTTAAACATTTTTTCACAAGTACGATTACGGAACAATAAAAAAACTCACAGAGACGATAATTTGTTGATGGATTCATTGTTTTTAAATGTAAATATAAATAACTGGACAACATATGTCAATAAGAGTAAAATTTTTGTTTGCGTTGTATCAGTTTGGTAGAATACATTACAAAAATTTAGAAAACCAACATTTATGTAAACATTAACAAGTTACCAATATTTCTTAGGATCTTTGAATACATGGTAAATTATTGTCTGGACAAATACCGGTATTTCAAAGACAGAATGTAACAGTCAAACTTTAGAGTTATAAAAACTGGATCAAAAAAAGTGAAAGCCAGAATTATCAACCTTTTATAAGAAAAGACTGTATGTTGTAGATTGAATTAACACAATAGTTTATATAAAGTATGCATAAGAAACTTTGTAAAGTGAAGTATATTCCTTTCCGAAAGTGTGTTCGTTACCCAACTTTATAAACGAAATTCAGCTTCAAAAGTTCAGTTTTATAGGGACCATAAGGTATTTATTTGGTTTAGATGCACAAATATTTTGTGGTGGTCAGTATTCAGTATAATCCTTAAACTTCATATACAGTTCGTCTTGATAACCGTCACTAGATAACGTCCCAACGGTATATTAATCAGAAAGCGAATACGAATTGTTGATTACGTTTATTATGAGACCATACACACAGATATCCCAAATTACAGGTGCGTTAAACAAGCATGAAAGAGTTGTGCCGAAAGGCAAGCAGGTAAGCGAGCGAGCGAGTGAGTGAGTCAGCAAATATGAGTATGAGTAAGCGAGTACACTTAAGCGAGACAGAGCAATGAACGTGAATAACATGGACATATATATTCATAGTGAAATGAATGAATCGTCGAATCAATTAAGGGATTAGTAGTAAGGCTAGCAGCGTGAATAAATGCGTAGGCAGTAAGCAATGCTCAAGCATACATGTTCATACATTCGCAACAATAATAAAGATACAATGATATAGATAAATTGTTGTTGTACAGATGACTCAGTTCGTTAATAAGTTAACAAAATGACAACCGAATTAAATGTGAACCAACTCAATTGCGCCTGAGTTGCTATAATTTATAAACAGTTTCAGCAACCATGTAACTTCAGTTTCTATCGGAATGTTTAAGGTAAAAAATGGTCATGAAGTAAGTGTAAATTATTGTAATAAGGTGGATATATTTGTAGAATATAACAGCTATTGTAGTGAATGAGAACTCAGGTAGGTAAGACCAATTTATTGCTTCATGGAAAATTATAGTGTCTTGGCAAAATATTTAAAATCGTACATTAAACACTTCATTTGCAAATCTTCCATCAGTTGTATATTAGATTATTTATGATGCTTGCAATTCTGTTGTTAATCTAATTCCCCTTTTGGTTCTTTTCATTTCAGTCGTTTCATACAGATACATACTACTTATATCTGTCAACATAAGTAGCATACACCGCATTATTGTTAAAGGATAGTGATTATATAATTCTGACAGTCGTGTAACAATAGTGTTACCGATATGAATTCGGTGAAATGTCAAAATCTGTGATGTGAAAAATTGAATTGTTAGTACACTGTGATGTTAAATGTAATTTAAATTAAATATAAGAATAGTGAAACAAACTATGATAGTAACTAAAAAAATGGACATGCTAACCAATTTAAAAATGACGAAAATAGTGGTAGCGTAAGTAGGGATAAGATAATTGGCATTCCTTATAAATTAACTCTGTATTTATCTCCCCAAACAGTATAATTAAATAGGTATCTTTATTTGAACATAACACTCACATTTACACTGTTCCTGTTTAAAATGTGCTTGGATGATTGATTTAACTAATCATGTTTAATTTGATATTCAATCCTCGATAATTTTATTTTTGAATTTTGTATTCGAAAGATTGACTGCACACTAAGTGTAACTGTGTAAGAGAGGCCTAAATCCCAAATGCTAGGTATAAAGGATAAAATCAATCTTTGAAATGGCAAATGATTTACACTCATTTAACTATCAGTGTATTTCATTATGTTAAGTGATTGACTGTGATTTTGTGTTTTTCAAATTCTTTGATGATTAACCACTAATAGTGGATGAATAATTTGGATAAATTAAAATATAATTCAATTATTCTTGGATTGCACATTTCAATCCATCTCGTCTCCTGGAAAGAGGAGGATAGGTGATGTTATCTCCTCGATTCTACTACAAAATACCTGAAGTCAGAGATCGTGGCGATTCCCACGATGAGAAGTAAGAAGTTATATTCTTGAGTCATTTTCACAGTGAATTGAAGCGGAAGTAACATTAATGAACAGTAACATTGTACTAAGAAAAAAAGTATGATTTCATCATTCTAACCTGATAGCTAATTAAAAGCTTCTGTAAGTTTCTCACAGTTTTCTTAGCCCGTCTTATCAAAAGCACTTTCGTTTATCGAATTTATGTCTGTATAATGAAAAATTAACCTAGCACACAACAATATGAATGAGCTATTCACTTCATTTAACAAAGTTTGTTTTGTATTTGTAAATGTTCAGGAAATCAATTTATCGTTCTAAAACTTACATACTTACTTACCTACCCCTGTCACCCCATATGGAGGAGCATAGGTCTATCACCAGTATTCTCCATCAAACCCTGTCCTGGTCAATTCTTTTGAGTTCTTTCCAGTTGCTATTCATCCTTTTCATGTCTGCACAGTGTAGTCTTCATCCTTCCTCTTTTCTGTTTCCCTTCACGATTACAAGTTAGCGTCTGCCTCATGATGCAGTTTGGTGATTTCTTCAATGTGTGTCCTATCCACTTTCAACATCTTTTCTTAATTTCCTCTTCATTTGGAACCTGATTTGTTCTCTCTCACACTAACCTGTTGCTGATGATATATGATCAACGGATGTTGAGTATCGTACGTAGACAATTGTGTATAAATACTTGTACATGTTTGATGATGGTTGTGGTAGTTCTCGAAGTTTCATCTCCGTACGGTTGGACTGTCTTGATGTTCATATTGAAGATTTTGACTATGATATTGTCTGTCAGACAGTTGTTTTGAGTTTCATATGTCGTTCAATTGTATTTAGGTGACCATCGCTTTGTCAACCCTTTACTTTACATCTGCATCAAATCCTCCTTGATGCTATCCAGGACTATGCTAAAACCTTTCATTAAAATATTGTATAGTATTGTTAAATACAGTTAAAGTACATTTACTAGTAATACGATTAAAAACCATTAAACACATTGACTAAACTATTGAATATAACTGAATGTGGTCTTTAGAATAGTTATAGTTAGTCATCTTAATTTAAACCTGTGACCATATGGACATCTTAGCAAAATATATTTATAAACTTATATGTTAACAGAAATTATCTTATTCTCTACAGATTAGCTCTTCATTTTGATCATCACTGACTGTAATATAATTTATCATTCATTTTCAAACGTGTTTTTTTTTCATACCAGATACTTGTGATTTCGCCTACAACCGTTAACATTAAGTCGATTGGTAGACCATCCCAAACCACCAATGAGGACACCCGTAAGGGAGTAATGTAGTTTGTATTGTTTTGTCGCATTTAGACTCAAAATTTCATCTGATTATATGTATAAAAAGTAAAAGTACATTGCACTAAAATTATTAAATAATAATACGAACGCTGTAGTGGATTGGCTTGGAAATAATTCATCAGCCTACGTTTATCACAACCGCCCTGAATATTATTATCAAATAAATCCCAACATTGTGTGAATTCAGAGGGCAACACGAAGCATTACCTACAGTTTATTATTGAATGGCACAGAACAATGACACCCAAGCACATCAAGCGAATTCAAACAGAAAAGCTAATGGGCATGAGCAAGCAAATACGGAGGCGAACTAAAAATCGAGTAAAGAAAATATATATGGTTAATGATTAATCAAACGATTTAAGCAACTAACATTTAATCCAGTAAAAGGGGTATGAACGTAGGTTGTTATATGTGGTCAAGCATGCATAAACCTTCAGACACAAAAATAATATAAGGACAGACAAATTTTCACTGTTAAAATAACACTGTCTTTAAAAAAAACCGTTAATTGGAGAGCTTGACAGAATTGGACGTAAATAAACTTAATTGTACATAAATGTACATATGAGATTCTCACACAGTGATGCTGAAGAATATCAATATAAGTAAAATATTAGAGATCATATTACTATGAAAAATCATTTAGTCTGATTTTAAGCAACAGATTCAAATGGAAATGAGCTGTATGTGAAATTTTTCTATAAATCGCGATACAGAATTATTGTAT